TAGTCTATGGATGGCAACCAAAGGTACCACCCTTAGGCGCCTTAGGCAATCGAAATCATCACTTGGAGAGACCTACTTGGCTGAATGGTGAGGTCATTGGACAGTCCAGCCCAAATCCAGACTATCCCCTTTACACCCCGACACCCGGAGCGGCTAACAAGCCTCATTGGGTTGCTCTGAAGCCTTTTCACCAGGGGCCTCCTGGCTCCTTTTCAGCCTTCTTCACATAACAACGAGATATATAATATATCCGCGCTTCTGGACGGAACGTATTGAAGCACCCGCAGCCCCACTTCATTTTGGCTCCGAATTGAAACATCAAAACCCCAAGGACGTTCCTCGAAGACAAGGGAAACTCCGGCCCTGCCCTGGCTCCCTTTGAGCACTCACGCCGAAGGGATTGGTGGGGAGAGACAAAGCCAGATTTCACCTGGTCGAGCATTCTTCAGCTTGATCTCGTTCTTTAAGCGGCCATAGTTCTTCGAGAACACATGTTTACTGCTGACGCAGTTGAAGAGAAGTAGCTAAGTCTGACCTTCGGAGTTTAGCTTGCGACCGATTCCCCCCTTCGTTGGGGATCTTTTCATAGATCCCTTTCAAGTTGATGTGAATAGCATGGGTCACCTAGATCTCTGAAGTCAGACTGGGGGCAGTACAGCTGGAATCTCGGCAGTATGGAACCTGTCGTCGCTATGGTAGATCAAGCTCATTATGTTCCAGGGGTGCTTGTACATACCCCTTTGACATACCCCTTGTACAAATGAACCCAAAAGGCCTGCTGACGTTCATACCCCTCTCCCCAAAATATACCCCGTGTAAAGTGGGTTGGAAACCACGGAAGCCAAGGAGTTCCTTGATTTGGAATCCCTTGCTTCATGGCCCGGCCCGTTTCAGTGGTTTGTTTCATCAACTCTTCGCTCCAGCAGTGCAAACCCGGGGGGGTGATCTAAAGGTCCGAACATGGGATGACCATGGGTTGGAAAACCACTTAAGATTCGCGATATGTCCCACGTGGGAATGGTCATTTGGGGGCCGAATTGAATATTGATAATTTTGATCACCCCCGCAGGTAGTAGATTTACTCATCAAAGTCACCTGTTTGTCCAAGGCACTCGTATATCGCCGTCTTGGAACAGTTGGAGACTGCTCAGCCGATCCCAGACATGAGATGGAATCGGGCCGGGACGGAGTTTGCAGTCGAAAAGAGTCGAAGCCAAAGGAAAGCCGTCCCAAACGAAACTTGCGGCCCCAAAGTGGTTGTCAGACTTTTCAACAAAACTCCAAGAGAAAAAACAGTTTGCAGTTGTTGTTGTTTTTCCTCTTCTTTGGTGGGTGTGTGTGTGTGTGTGTGTGTGCATGTGTTTAACGGGCGCATTCCTTTTTGTTTTTGAGGGGGGGGGGGAGGGGGCCTGCTTTAGCATAGTGTGTTGTACGTTTGGCGTCACCAGCAAAGCATGGTTGTGTGCTTCAGAGAGAAAAGAAAGGCTCACTCACTTGCCCAAATTGTTCTGTTTAGCTTTTCAGAGTCTGGCCGCATAGCTCTGGCTTCTGTTGGGGAGCTCCGTTTTGCTTGGATATGTTGCCATTGCACCAGCAAGTTCGGCTCTTGTAAATCCTATGGGCGCAAATGAAGTGACAGTCGGGTAGAAATGCGGTTCGCTCCTTTGTGCAAGGCAACTCTACTGCTTTAGGCATGCTGTTGCTCATGTCTGGCTGAGCTTGTAGCTGAAAATGGCAACATGGATCAACACCGAAGGTAGAAGTTCAGAGTCTAAAACGAAAGACCAAAGACCTGGGGACGGTTTTCCAGTGCCCAAGTTCCAAAGGCTTTGGGAGTTCGATTCGACCGAACTCGAGACACAATGTCAGTAATTTGGTATTGCACAGTTTGCACATTTGCCCAGTGGATCACAGCCAACTTTGTCCAGTGGACGGACCAGGTGGCCCAAAAGCGAAGTCTTCGCCTGCGGATCCGCTGGGCAACTGGCTGCATGATGCTGCATGCCTCCGCGCTGGCGATTTGCCTTGCGAGCATGCCCGGTTTTTCCACGGCCCTTCGCCGAGCCTGCGGTTTGAGTCTTGCTTGTCGGCTTGATGGGTGAAAGAAAGCACTGGACGTGCCTGAAGAAACAAAGCACCACAAGTCTCACATCTCCAAATCCAAGGTCCAAGATATGTTGGGGTTATCTTGAGACAACGTTCATGATGCCACAGCTTGGACATTGCTTTTTTCCTAGATTTTGATGAGGCGGCAGTGATGTTGATGGACCGCAACTGCAACTTGTTAGTGCCGTTGTTTCTAGGGATTGGGGCAACACAGTTCATAAATGTTGTTCTTGGTATGTTGAGGGGTTGTTGCTGTGTTGGTTCTGTTCATCTAGGGGCTGCCATTGACGTACCAAGTTAGTTGAGAAGAAACAAACGAGGATCTCACTTAATCTCAGCACAACAAGGACCTTTGCATTTTTTTCCACGTTCTATTGATTGGGAAGAAATGCAGAGTGTGACTGAGAAAGCTGTCCATTTTGGTTGATCCTAAATATATTGCAAGGAAATAAGAAACCGCCTTGTAGTTTACCACAAAATTTAAGTGGTTCACTGATCACAGAGAACTCTGTCAGGTTCATGACTGAATCTGGTGGTAAGGTATCCCAACTGGTTGGGCTCTGATTAGTTTGGTTTGTGCGTGGCTTCGTTTGTTTCTGGGAAGAATTGCAGGGCGTAGGGAATTCGTGAGCCATTGGGCGAAGCCTCGATGTTGATCAGGCAATTGGCCGTGCCCTGTACTGGACTCTCACTTTGGAAGACCCATTGAACTTGGTTAGCCGTCCGGGTCAAGATGTGTTTTTTTTTGCATTTTAGTTGGTTTAGTGGTGGTTTCCGAATTTAAGCCACGAACAATTAGTCACTTTTGGCAGGCGATCTGAGGACAGCCCAATCAAGTTGTCTGCCAAGCATCTCAATGGCCCCTGTTGAAAAATATCTGAATCTCCCTGATCTCAATTTCCAGAAGCAGGATTAGAACATGAACACGCGCAATCCCACGGACACGCAAGCCAGACTCGTCGTGAAGTCTTCAAAATATGTTTCTTGACTGACCTACCCATCTCCATGTCTGTATTCCTAACGGATGAAGCCATTGTATCTTTTGTGGGAAAGGATGCGGGCGCACCTCCTTTCAGACAGGGGGGTTACCCGACGAAGGGACCAGCACCACTTTCCTCGTATGGGTTGGAGGGACCCAAAATACGTGAGGCGCGAGATGGTGATGTTCAAACAATGGATATGATTCTCGAGGTCATGGACAAGAACCTTTCCATGACCACTTTATCACTTCCGATGGGAGACTCTCACAGAAACGCCTTTGCACCCCTGTATTTAAGGCCTTTCGCAGGCGTTTGTTCCGCGACACCAGAGAAACACCCTTTGTCGAGGGTGGTTTGTTTGCCATTCATAGATGAAGAGTTTGGCATAGTTTGGCATTCCCAGAGGATTGTTGCACAGTGCCCCTTTTGGAAGGTTGGTTGGCTCACACTACAAACTCAGAGGTCCTTGCAAGTTGTTTTTCACCCGAAAGATTGAGTGAACCTACGAAGATGATCGACGCACGTAGCAGGCCACAGTCATATCTCGGATCCTCCCCGAACCTGCCGACCCTGCCGCGCCCCAACTCAAAGAGCTAAAACCTTCAGGCTGTGTGGTTGGATCTTGGGACTTCCGTTGGACCCACAAAAAGTTGAACTTTTTGCAGAGGGGTCAACAGCAGCCAAGTTTCTCTAAGTGGAGAAAAGAGGCTGTTCTGTGCTGAGAACGGACTGGGCAGGCCTAGCTTTTGTTTTCTAGGGGTCGAAGCATCCCCTTACGGTGCGAGCGCTGCGGTGTCCTGCGGTGTCACGCGCGCCGGCGCCCGGTGAATTTGGTTCGAAAATTCGTGCTTGGCATTTGGAAGTGTAGAGACTCGCCGACCGGTAGAAAACGGATGGAGCGGGGCTTGGGAACGGGGAACAGAGGGGAGGGTAGAACAAGATAGAACGCGGGCGCGATCCGCGGGTGTTGTTTCTTCACAGCTACAGCTAGATGCAGTTCACATCAATAAATGCCTGCCTTGTCCCACAAGAAAGCGAATGGCGGGGATACTTATATGTCCCTTTGCGGGTTCTTCCGACATCACCTTTAGTTTCCATGTCACAATGAGTTTCCGTTTGGTTGGTGACGTGTAATGCGGGGTAATAATCCCAGTAAACCCCAATCATGAGGTTTGTAGTTTCACGGATAGCCAAGCCATTCGACGGCCAGGTAGCCTTCTCGGGTTTCCAACTGGAGTGAGTTTGACTCAGGGTCCTGTGTCTGGACAAGAACCCTGGTCCCCTTCCATCGGTATTTGGGTCTTGTTGGGCCGAGTGAACAAGTAGCCACTTGGACCGTGGGTTAAGCACGGCTCCTTAAAAGATCTCCATTTTGCAACCATTTGAAACATGTTGCTTTTTCCACCCAAAATAAAGTTGAAAACCACCATTTACAAGTTGCAATGTTCAGGTGTTTTTCATGTAAGGATCCCTGTTAAGCCCCCAGCAACCGGCTTAACTCCACTTGTAGAGTGCATATTGCGATCCGCTTCGCAACAGCTCAGTAAAGCTGAGTGGAACACCCAAGCAGCCTTACCCCCTGGAGAATGACGACCGGTGAAATGGGCCAGTACCCTTGTGGTGAACCAGAGGTTTATTAATAATGGGTTCCCACTACCAATAGGTGGTAGAGTTATTTGGGGATAATTGTCAGGGCGAGACAACCACTATTTTCGAGGTTCTCCTACGTTTCCTGTGCGGTGTTGTCTCAAAAATAGGGGATGCCTTTCTGCCTGGAGTCTCCATGACCCTTTAAAAATGGGTCCATGACCCCTTTATTTTGGGTAATGACCCCATTTTTAAAGGGTCATGGAGACTCCAGGTGGATGGTTTTAGAAGGAAGACACGTTTTGGTGACTCGTTCGCGCATCCGAGGGCGCGCTGGATGTTCAGCGTTGCTGCGCAGCAGGGGACAATGGCGGCGGTGCTCGCACCGCGGCGTTGGATGTGGACACCGCTTTCAAAATCAGCCATCGGTGTTACCCCAGGCGCAAGTAATGTAAACCCCGGATTAATATACCCCTGGTTGATTTATAGGGGGGTGTCCCCTTTTAGTGGGGATTCATCACTTTTGGAGGGTTTTCTATTAGTGGGACGGGTTTATTAATCCTGGGTCAACATTAGATGGTACATGTTTCTTATTGGGAAAGTAAAGTGGATGAACAAATCCAACTGAGTTTCTTGCCATTTTTCAGCCACCTGTATATCTCGGCATAGTATCAGCTCACCGATCGGTTGAATGTTTGCTCGCCAATGCAGCATCCAGTTTCGCTGGGACCCGGCAGTTGCTTCCTGTTTCGGTTGGGAAACCCTTCGCTGGGTTGATGTTGACAAGGCCAACAGGAGGAACCACCTGAACGGCGAATGTGAGTGTGCCACTTGAACGGACACAGTGAAGGGTCATCAGACACGCCAGGGAAACGCCAGGGAACTAGTCTGGCGCCTAAGGAAGGGTTTGGTTGTTCCAGACCTTTGCTCGGCACCTGGCATATGTCAATCATTGGAAGGAATCTGCTGGGGCCAGACATCAACGGATGCATGATACCAAACGAAAGGCAGAGACCGAGTTGAAGTTGAAAAAAGTTCGGGAGCCCGCACTTTGAGATTGGCGGCTTCCAATCTGTGTGAACCCATGGCCATGTTGGACCCCTTTGGTGGCTGGTGGCAACCGATCCCATGATTAAGGTCTAATTGGTTGTTCAATGAACTAACGGTGAAAACTAGGGGTTTGGGTCCATACGTTTTGCCTTTGAATCCCTTGCAATAAGGCAGCATTTGCTTTGGACTAGAAGGATCGTCAACCTCTTAGCAAGTGGATACTGCTGAATAAGGCAAACTTGGGAAGTCTTCCTAAAGGACCCCACAGAAACATGAAGAACATCGACTCAGCGTGCACTTGGAAGTACTACCTCAAGGCTACGAGTCTGGAAACCTTCTCCAAAATGCCAACATCGCCTCACATTTGCTTGAGTTCTTTGGCTCCTTCTGTCCTTTTTATTTTGTGTAGGCTGCCAACCACAACATGTCATTCAGAAATTGGGCCAGTCCGGAGGCCATTGATATTGCAAGTATGGGAACGAGGCTCGAAGCCCCGCAAGCTGCGTGCGTCTCACCAGAGTTTTGCGGTTGGATCGCGTTGGTTCACTAACTCTTCTGTGTTAAAGTACGCCATACCCCGTTCTAATTACTTTGGCCCGCACATTATTTGTACGGCATCCACTGTACCTGCCGCGCTCTCAACTCTTAGGACATTCCCTTCCACGCTTGTTATAAAAGAAAACCGAAAGTAAAATCAAGAGCAGCCAAATGGGGATGCATTTCTTGAGGGTACCCTCTTGGCGGTTGCTGTAAATAGGACACCGAAAGAAAAGCAAAAGGACTCGCAAAAGCAACCGAATGGGCACGTTGTTTGAGGGTACCATTCTTGTGGTTGCCTTGAAGGAACAACAATATGAAACCAGGTGAACACCAGGTGGACACCAGGTGGACACCAGGTGGAAACCAGGTGACAAACCGGGTACCCTCCAAACGTGGCACGTCATTCACTTGGCATCCGCTGACTTGCAGCAGAGATGGCTTTTGGTTTTATTGCGGTTTCCAATTTGGCATCCACTGACTTGCAGTTTGTCCATGGGCAGGAGACACCTCCCAAACGCGTGGTGAGAACTGCGCGTTTGTATCGATCAAAGGCCCGGGCCTGCGCTGGGCAGCGTGGACCTGGTGGTGGACGCTGGAGAACTGGCGCCGGGGGGGAGACGCCCAAGTCATCCGTAGGATGGTTGGTTCGTTTGTAGGTAGGGGCAGGCAGGCAGGCGGGCAGGCGGGCAGGCAGGTAGGTACAGGTGGTTGGGCTGGTTGGTTGGTTGGTTGGTTGGTTGGTTGGTTGGTTGGTTGGTTGGTTGGTTGGTTGGTTGGTTGGTTGGTTGGTTGGTTGGTTGGTTGGTGGGTGGGTGGGTTGGGTTGGTTGGTTGGGTTGGTGGGTTGGTTGGGTTGGTTGGTTGGTTGGTTGGTTGGTTGGTTGGTTGGATTGGTTGGTTGGTTGGTTGGTTGGTTGGTTGGTTGGTTGGTTGGTTGGTTGGTTTTGTGTCTGGCTGGCTGCCTGCGTGGCAGACTAGTAGGTTTGTTGGCTGTTTGGCTGGTTAGTTTGCTGGTTGGTTGGTTGTCAAACATGGTGTCATTGTGTGCCTTGAGTCAGGGAGCCTGCCACCACCCAGTAGTGGGTTTCTCGCATTTGTGGTACCCTTGCTCTCACTGTATTTGGTGGGTATCCCTTGAACATCAACCAACCGGAGAACATTTTTAAGAAAACCGGGCGGCTTGGGGGCCAGCGATAGGCTTGGCGAAACGCTCAGCGATAGGCGGCCAATGGCTTCGTGATGAACCTGGCCAACTTCCGCTGGGATGCCCTGGGCAAAGTGGAGGCCCGGAACCCAGTTCCCTCGTCTCAGCAGATTCGACCCGCCAGTTGGCGTTGGGCCTCGTCAGCGCAGTTCATAGTGTGAAAACTGTTGGGTTGCGCAGGGCTCCTTAAAAGATCTCCATTTTGCCACCATTTGAAACATGTTGCTTTTTCCACCAAAATGAAGTTGGAGACCACCATTTACAAGTTGCAATGTTCAGGTGTGTTGCGAGAGGTTTCTTTGGAGTTCAGGGGTGGGATCCCCAACCGCGGAGGTTCCTGGAACCGAATCTCCGGAACCCTGGAAAGCTGCCCCGAACCACCCTCCAGAGCCGGAACTCTGGTCAGAGACTTCATAGCTTGTAGCCGTTGCGGGAAACACACATGCCAAAAAAAGTGCTAAGACATATGTGGCGGTTTTGCCACGGCCACATGAGGTCTGGGTTGGTCAGTGGGCCTTACCCTGTGCCTCTTGTTGTTTGGCAGGATCCCGAACCCCCACCCAAAACGATCAACGCCGACAAGAATGTGTTGCGTTCATATACGAGGTAGTATCACGGGTGACCGGACTGAATTGATCAATTGATTCAAAGCGTGTATTCCCATTTGAGGCGGGCCAAACTTGTCCTCAAGTTCGGCAAAAGGACCAGCTGTATGGTTCATAACTTCATGGGCAAGGCTGTTTGGGTTGTACAGTCAATCCTGCAGTTCTGTTCAAACATCCTCAGACTCACAGCCATGGAGATCAAAGAATCCTGGATTCGAATCCTGGGAGGGCAGGTTGGGCAAGTTGAAAGGCAAGCCGCTCTGCAAAGCTCCCGAAAAATTGTGGATAGAGACTCCTCAAAAATTCACGGCCGGTTGGGTTCCGTAAAGCGAAAGTATCAACTCACTTCTGTGTGTTACTAGCTAAAGGATGACCAACCCGGGGCAGAGAACTCGTCGACGTGTTGCGTTTGTTTTCCCCTCACTACATCAAAGCTTGTTCTCCGAAAGCCGTGGTCACGCCCATTCACGCCCCAACTTGAAGAACTTCCCAAAGGCTTGCGCAGAAAAGGATCCCTCGGCTCTCTCGGGTCCCTTGAACCTTTTGCTTTTGAGTTAGCTTTCCCTGTTCCTCAGTTGTTGCTAAAAACTTTCCCGTGCCAGGGCTGCTCCGAGCCTCATAATGACCACCGCGGAAATTTAGGTGTGGATGTCTTTGGTCCTTTTTCAAGGACCAATTCTCTGCCCTACTAGGGCCTTTACAGTATATAACCCTGCTTCAATTCTTTGCTCTTTTGCCAGGGTCTTTGTAGCTTCGGCTTTTGCTTGGGATCGTCCTCGTGGCTTCTCGGTCGCATTTCCCCAGCTGATCCTGGATCGGTACCAAGCAAGCTCAACAGTGCCTGGAGTCTCCATGACCCTTTAAAAATGGGTCCATGACCCCTTTATTTTGGGTAATGACCCCATTTTTTCAAGGGTCATGGAGACTCAAATTGCTTCTTTTCTGGGTGTTCGGCCAAGTTGGATGATCTCACTTCCTGAGTTGCTGGACTTGAGTCACTGTTTGGGTTGGACCAACATTTAGTGGCAATTCACGAAGTTCCAGGAATTGGTATAGGCAGGAATGTCCCTTCCGTGTGGGCATGAACCGTTTGGGTAGTCTTCAAGGACACCACCCCAGGGATGGGGTTTGGCTTCGATAGGGGTCGTGCGCCATGTCTCATTTTTCGGCCTATCGAAGCGTTGCAACGTTTTTGGCCCATCTCGATCGGTCGGTTATGCGTCGTGGAAGGCTCCTTTGACCGATTTCTCGTGGATGGCTCGTCTTGTTTGGGAGGGTACCTTTATCTTTGAGGTTCAAGGAAAACCAAATGGAAAGCCACTGGTTGTTTTTTGGGGTTTGGGGGGGGGGCCTAAAGAACGGAAACATTGATATATATGAAAATGAATGAAGATATGAGTTGCAACCCTTCACCCCGCTGGGTCAGGACTCGATTCAATCCTGCCATTGCCAGCTTACAGATTCCGGGGTACGAGCTCACCTAATCAAGTAACCCGGAATTGGTGGTTTGGATTGGTGGTTTGGGGATTTGAACCCCTAGTTCTCGTAGAGGGAAAATGGGAAACCCCTCAACCACCAAACCGCCAGGCTCCAAACCACCAACTAGGGGGAAGTCCTTTAATAACTTTCTCCAACTCTGGCAGATGTTGGCTCCCATGGACGCAAGGCCTTCCTTGTGATGGATTATAGTACGTAACCTTTAGGTCGATAGAGGTTAATAGTAGAGCGGTGGGGGTGCGGGGTTGGAGGGGGTTGGAGGGAGTTGGGGGGCAATCTTGAGTGCCATTGGCTCAGATCTTTAGACTTTAGCTGATTGACAAATAAGGGGATCCTTCGAATTGAACGCAAAAAGAAGCGGTTCACTTTTACCGAGGGGTCGTTGCAGCAGCCTGGCAAACCCTTGCAAGTAGGGTTCACCAAAAAAAACCAAACAACCACCCCTAGAGCCGTCTAGTAGTCTCGGGGGCATCTAGAGCCATCTAAAGTGTGAGGGCTACAGCAACCAAGACTTGATGTCTTGTCTGAATTCTGTTTGCTCACTCAAGTCAATACCCCATGGCGAGGATATTTTGTTTTTCCGATCCGCTTCCTGGAGGAGCTGCTGCGTTTGCTGGCCAGCTCCTTGTCGCTGCTGCGGGTGGATGGGATTTTCCGACTCCAGCTGGATGGCTCCGATGTGCCCGAGTTCCTCGCTCCCCGGACGGCCGGCCGAAGCATGGCCCATGTTGTTGGCCCGTCGTCGTTTTTGTTGGGGATACCCCTTTTGTTGGTGGGTTGAAACGGAAACTTTGGGGGGGGGCCCTAAAAAAAGCTCTCATTTAGGGCCGACATGTTTTTCGTGAAATGAGGTTGTGCCGGATGCGGAATCCAGCTTTTGTCATGAACAAGTTAGAGCGCCACCCTTTCGGGCCTCATGACTTCTGGCTGCTGTTCACCCCATTCTGACTCAGATCCTTTTCAAAACATGGCAGCCAAACCTAAGGGATTTGAGTGGTTTCTCAAAAGAACCATTAGAATCGTGTCTGAGTCCAGGGTTGTCAAGAGACTTTGGGTGTTATTTCCTTTCACCTTAGGAGTGTGGCTCGGGGGGAGACAACATAAATGTCCCACACATCCCACGTTGGACTTTCTACCCACTGGGTAGAGTATGTTGTTACTCGTAGCGCTAAACAAACAGCTTGGACTTGGTTTGGCCAATCCACTCGTCCAGTCCCCGATCTTTGTTTGCAACCAAGGTGAGTTTCGTGACAGCCTTCCCGGTCAAGGTGAACACTCGGCAGCTTCTCGGTAGGGGCAATTAACCTAGAAAGGTAGGGTTGCCAGACTTGACTACCTTTTGCCTTTTTTGGGGTTGCTTCATTTTGCCTTCAACCAAAGAGTATCCAAAGAGTCGACTTTTTGGGAGTTCTTGCGTTTGATCCCTACCCAGCCCCCAAAGACTTCCCCAACTATGTTTGAGGGACAATTGTTTGTGGCGGGAAGAGACTTGGGAGATCTGGCACACTACCCGCATCTCCGCTTCTTACAGGGTTGCCCTGAACCGTTCACGGGACAAAACAAAATTAGAAACATGGTATTGAGCTGATTTCAAAGGCCCCCCAACTAGTGCCCTTTTGCCCCTTTTCTGGGGGAGGGTTCCCCTACTAATTAAGATAGACCACAGAAAAAGTTGGTACCCTTATTCGAACCTCTCGACTGGAGGACCTAGTTTATGCGTTTCTTTTCCGACCAGCTTTCTGCCCTCCAGAGATGTCGGAGCAACCCTATCCTTACTCGTGAAGTGGCAGGGAGGCTGGGCCCAGGTTCCCAAAGGAGCAAGCGGATGAGCCGTGACAAACAAGCGCAGTCATGTTGACCTGAGTTGAATCCTGGCGGTGGATTCATAAGGGGCGTGTTTCCCCAAAAGCAAAGCATGTCGCAGGTGGGTTCCAATTTACAACACAGCGGGGAATTGAGCACCTGGCGGAAACCTCTTCAATCATTAGCTCTGAACCAAGCCCTGCAGGTTCTCGCAACGTGGGGCAGTGCCTGAACCAGTGTGGCTGAATGGGTGCTTGGGTATTCCACTATGTTTGTTTTGACCCAACTGATTTTCCCTGGAAGACATGAGTATGAAAAGGAGTGACCGCCCACCCCTTTTCCCACCTAAGATAGTGGAACACTGCTCGGCGGTGTGTTCATTGATGTTTGGTATATTCTATCTAAACGAGGCACCTGATCAAAATCAAGCCACGAGTCGGTATGGACACATTTTGGGTTCAACAGCAAGCAGTAGAACCACCTATCTCGTACGCCCAAGCGCTGTGTGCCTTGCCCTGTGTGTTTATCTCACTGCTCGATTTGAAGCATGATTTCGTTACCCTCACTTCCTGAGTTCATGGACTTTAGTACTTTTTGCAAAGCCCATTTGAGTGGTAAATAACAAGTTCCAGGACTTCTTTTGGCCAGTCCACTCGATCAGAAGTAAGTACCTGGACCCCCAAAGAAGTACAAGTCATGTTGAAGTTGGAATAGCCCTACAGAACAAGCATCACCAGCCATACTGTTGGGTTTCAAGAACCCATGTAAACAAACAGTTGGAATTTTGAGGCTCCAGGTACCTTTTTATGCCCGGATCGACTTCGAGGTCCGGCTGGGACTTTGTGGTCTTAGAGCCGGTGACCTCTGAGCACCTGGACCAGGTGCTCCAGAGCCAGGTGCGGGCGGAAACCGCTTCGGAACCCGGAGAGTTCTCTCGTCGCGAAGCGTTTCGCCGTGGATCTCTGCAAGTGACGTCCGCGGAATTGGTGCGCCGGAAAGAACAACAAAAGGAAAAGAACAAAAAACGCCGGGTTGCAATTGGTTCCGATGTGAATCCAGAAAATCGGCCAGCAAACAGAAGAAACGTGGAAAGAATGGCAAGTTGGGGAAGTGGTTTGTTGTTTCCCGAGACAACCCATGGATCTACAAGCTGCGGAACTGGCTTCTGACCATGAAAATGTGGGGAAGCTGAAGGCAAAGGAGAGTCATGATATAAGATGGGTGCGGCAAGAAGCCCTTTGGATTCGTTAATTGGTTTTGGCTAGGCTCCTTGAATGCCAGGCTTTGATTATGACCCAGCTCGTTTAAACATGTTCATACACTTTATGTTTATGGCCTCTGGAGCAAACCAGTTGTTTTCTTCTTCTGGGCAAGAGACGTTTTGGGTACTTGGGAACACCAATTAGTAAAACAATTCAGACTGGCCAATGCAGGAAGGGAGGCAACTATTGTTTCAATGACGTCATTGTGCTGTTCCTTGAAAGGGACCTAGCGCCGCCTAGGCTCTGGTTGCTTAAACCATTTTTGTCCACTGCGGACATAAACCCATTATGTTGTTTCGCCCGTGCCCTAGCAAAACCTTGCCATTCTGAGGGGATGGGCTTCTTTCAGGCTTAACTGACCAGGTGATTGGCTTTGCCTTTTGACTTCTTCCAGGGAATTGTGCAACGAGTTTGGGAGGGGAGGTTGACTAGCTAAGGAAGAGGTCCCTCCCCCACTGGCCCCCAAGTCCCCTTTGGATCAGGGCCTCCGGCGAACATAAGTCCCGCCTTTGACCGCCTGTCCTGTGTTTTTGTTGTTGGTAGAACTTCGTTCGTGGTAGCGGTGTACCCTTTTGGGGCTTTTTGCAGGGAACACCCGAAACAACACCTTGCCATTTTGGGGCCTCCTTCATTTTGGGACCTCCACACGTACGGGAAGGGGATCCCTGAAAGGTGTGAACTCACATTCCATGAGCCCACAACTCGATCTGGCAGGATTTCCCCTTTTTTGTAACGTTTGTTTTGAATTAATGTCGTCTCACTCTGTTTGTTTGTGTGTGTTTCTTTGAGGGTGCCCTTTCTAAGGTGAACTTGTCTTGACGACAAGCTAGCTGCAATCGACCTTCAACCAGTCAACAGGTGTGGGAGGAGCGCTCCCACGAGCGCTACGCGCGGCTCTTGCGGCCGATCATCGGTTCAGTGGGCACCGTGCTGGATGTGGGCGGTGGGGACGGGCACATGGCGCAGTGGTGGAGCCTTCGGCGGAAGTTGGATGCCCCACCTCAAGCTTGCCGAAGGGGTGGGACACACGCTGATGGAAACAACAAGTCCACTTTGCACAAAAGGATATTGGTGGCGTTTCAAGTACCTGGAGTCTCCATGACCCTTTAAAACTGGTGTCATTCCCCAAAATCAAGGGGTCATGAACCCATTTTTAAAGGGTCGTGCAAACTCCAGGTATAGGGTTTCATCAATCCGAACTGCCGGATCTAGTCCAGCCACAGTATCCCACTCAATGTGGGCCCCGAACTGCGGATTTATTGGCGGGGAAGGGGGGGGGGTTCCCCACAAGTGATTTGGACATCCGGCACCACCCCGATAAATCTAGCACGGTTCGTTTGCTTTTTGTTCGATGTGGGATCCCATTGCCATGGTTCAGGTACTCCTTAATTTGTGTTGGGATTGGTGGTTTGGGCATTTTTCTGAACCCCCTTTTCAAGCCAAACCGGAAAGGTAACCGCTAATGCGCAAACCACCAAACCAAACCACCACTTCGGGGTATGGTGAATGGTTGCAGGTGCCCTAAGTTGGCTACAACCTGGGTTACCAACCACTTGCCTGACGTGCCGTGCACCACTAAGCTGGAAAGTGACATCGTAGTCATGATGGGAATCCCCAAAGGATGACAGCCCACCAGAGAATCCCGAAACTTGCCTGAACTTTGCTTGTTTTGTTCTGTTGGTTTGTTGGTCCCTCTTTCTTCAAGTTGTGTCTTTGACCGTTTCGCCTTGGGTGTCGTAGGCTTCATTCGTTGTGCCGTGACTCTGTTCGCTCGACCCGAGTGATGAGCCAAGAAGAGTTTACCCCTAATGAATTAGTTGCTCTTTGATTTGAGGTACCTGGAGTCTCCATGACCCTTTAAAAAATCGGGTCATTCCCCAAAATCAAGGGGTCATGGACCCATATTTTTCCGGTCGTGGAGACACCAGGTAGGTATTCCTGCAGGTGAATCATAGTGCTCCATCCTTGAGATCGCATCTTATGGAAAGCACCAAAGACCCAGGGAAATCACTTTTCCGGTGGCGGGCTTCCCTCGCAAAAGCCATTTAAGCTTTTGGCATTTGGATTACAGATTCCATGGATAGGTGCGGAACAAGCGAGGAATGAATGAATTGCTTTTGAACTGTCGCAACGAGAAATTAAAACACAACATTCAACCAAGAACAGCCACGAGCAAGCTCGAAAAGCAAACAACACAAATACGCAAGAAACAAGCCCAAAGAGCCCTAAACAAAAGGAATATCACTTGCTTTGCTGGTTCTGTAGGGAACGAGGGGATTGGGAAGGAACCTAAAGATCCCTTCAAGGAAACCAGATGGATGATTCTGTTCGGTGTCGTTCTCTCATTCCCTGACAACCAGCAAAGCAACTAAAACAAAGCCTGAACACAAGCTCAACAACTCCAAACAAGCCAAACCAAAAAACAAAACATGTCCCAAACCATCCTGAATCAAGAACGCCAGCCCAAGCAACGTCCTCAAACGCCCAAACCCAAGCTTTGGTGCATTTTCTTTGATGTTAAGACTTTAACTTTTTGCCAACTCATGGGTTTTCCATTAAACCACCAAAAGCTAAAGTTTTAGCAGGGGAGCAGAAAGCAACCGCGTCCTAAGACGCAAGCAAACTCAAACTCACCTAGCTCCCCCGCAGTGCCCTTCTCTTCCCTTTTTTGGTAGGAGGGTTCCCCTACTAAAATAGACAAAACCACCAAAAGTCGGTACCAACTTTTTCTCAGCTCTCAAATCGGGAGGACCTAGTCACCAAAAACGGCTTTCGCTTTGGGGTTCTGCAAGGTCTGAGCTGGGCTGCCAAGTGTACCTCCTGGAGACGGATGTCGCCTGTGCCGCGGACGCCCGGCGCCGCCTGGGCGAGGACGGGGCGTTTGCGTTTGCGTTTGCGTCTGAAAAGCGGACCCCCCGAAATGGGTTTGGGGTTCCTTTTTCTTGCCACCCAAAATTTGGTCCAACCCAAACATCTCAAGTCCAGCAACTCAGGAAGTGAGATCCAGCACCTGGAGTCTCCATGACCCTGAAAAGATGGGTCCATGACCCCTTTATTTTGGGGAATGACCCCATTTTTAAAGGGTCATGGAGACTCCAGGTACCCTCAACAGATTAGGAGCCAGTTGACCGAACCTACATGAGCTCAAGAAATGAAACCGCCGGCTTGAAAAGGGGTTTTATACTCAAGTCGTATGCAAAAAGGGGCCTGTTGGTTTCCCTGGAAACTAAGGCATTCCAGTAAGCATGGAAGCTGATCGGAGGATTCTGGAAGAGGGTATTTGGGTTTCCCTTGGTTTCCCTTTAAAGGCTACCTTCAACAACATCTGCACCGATATACCTGGGATTCGGGGATTCCATTGAGGCCCTGAATTTTGGTGATCATTTTCTGATGTAGGGGTGCATTCGGGGTTCGACACATGGGCCACTTTTGCAAGTTGAGCATTGGCAAGTCGGGGCCCGGCACTTTTCCCCGTCCAAAGCGGCAACTTTTCCCGGCCGTTGGACGGGAGTCGCGAAGTGGCACTTTGTGAAACGGCAGTTAGGCACAAGTTGCGCTTTAAAGTTGCGAAGCCATATTTCTCGCCCAGGGGCAAACAATGTACCCTCCGGAAGTCGCACGTATAGGAGATAAAGTGCAGTGGATATATATATATATATATATAGTATTATACATGTGTATATATATATATATATATATACCCTTGCTTTCCGTAAAATACACGGTGGGTCCCCCATTCGGAAGGGTTGCGCTCCTTGACCTCTTCAAGCTCAAGAAAAAGGGAGTTATCAGGAGGACAAACTCTGAAAAGGAGCAATTCGCGGAGTGGGGCCAACCCCAAGAAACACTGCTTTTTGTCCGTTAGTTTTTTTTCATAACTCAAATACATTGTTTTGGTGGCACCAAACCGGCATATGGAAATGCCGGTGCCCTTGTTGAGGGGTCGGGCAGGGCTTTCCAGCCAGGAACGCGTGGTTTTCCACGACGGCAAATCAGCCTGGCCCTATGCCGACGGCGCCTCGCTTTGCTAGCAGTTGACTGGGAGCCCCACCAAAAGCGGGGAGTGCTCTCGCTTGTTGTGGCTATAAGGCCCTGTGGAAGTGATGCCCATCACCGAGTCGGAGAATTAGGACCCCCAACCTCCGAGTTCGTTCTGTTTGGGTAGGTGCCCCTTGTTTAACCAAAGACGTCTGAATGGGAAACCGCGCACTGAATGGATGGATGCTACTTGAAGAGCTCAACTCTGGCCCTGAGTTGAGGAGATATTTTCCCTCTACAAAGTTTCATGATTTCCTCCAAATGTTGAACAAGTCAAATGTCGAATCCAAATGTTGAACGTTTTCCTGAACCTTGAACATGTTCTACCTCCAAAAGTTGAATATGTTGTTCGGCTCCATCAGATCATCCGTCAGATCATCCGTCAGCTGCGAGGAAATCCGGTCAGTAAGCCTCGAGCCTTACCCTCAGGAGAAACGAAAGAAGCCACCGGTTCCCGAGATTTCTCCCGAGGCCTCCCTCCCTTTTTTTGTTTTGTTTTCCCCCCTTTTTTTCTTTTCGAAGTGACACCATAGGTACTTGCAATCGTTGGTATTGAAGACAGATGCGATTTTTCGATCAAGAATCTTAGCTGTTATTCGGTTCAGCCGTTCTTGTTGGGGTATATATTAGTTGAGTGGCTTCCCGCTGACAGAAAGTGAACATGTTTAGGAACCAAAGTCCGCCTTTTGATCCCTGGTTTCTTTGGGTCTTGCCTTTCTCCATTGGATTTCAACCACGTTGAGGATCGACCTGCGGTGCATCTGATTTCTGCGGCTCCTCGGAGATTTCCCCGGAGCCCCGGAGCCCCGATCGGCAGGAGCCACCGCAACCCGATGCCTTGCACCCACTGGATCCCAACCGGCCATGAGCAGCACGTTTTCTTTTTTGTTTAAATTCGGAGGCAGCAACACTCAGGTTACCCCTAGTTGCTGGTTTGGGGAATGGTGGTTTGGAATTGGATTTTATCCCTTGGTGTTCTTAGAATGGAACCCCACCCCCCTTAATTCTCCCCCAAACCACCAAACCACCCAACCACTTGGAGCTGAACCCACGTTCCCTCTTGCAGGCGCCTTCGACCTGTGCCTCCTCCTCTTCGTGCTGCACCACATCGCGGAGGATTTGGGCACCACGCTGCGGGAGGCCGCGCGGGTGTCCAAAAAGGTCCTGGTGCTGGAGGACCAGCCCCGGGCGGCGCAGAGCCCCAACTTGGCGCGCCTGGCCGCGGCGGCGCCCGGGCGAGGAAATGGGGAAAGGGCCAATATAAAATCACTAGGATATGGAACGCAGATTTGAGTCCATGTTTCCATGTACCAGGGCAAGCCATTTTGGGTACCTAAATTTTTGACCCGGCGAGGCGGCAGACGTTGAGTTGCTGCGGGAATGAGAAATGGCTCATGACGCCAAGAAATCCAATCCAACTGGTGATTTCCTTGATTCGGGAATCACCTTCTGGTTCATTCCCGACACCCGGAAGGCTCATTCCTACTGAAGGGGGATGGATAGCTTGCTCAGCTTTCCATGACCCTCCTATTTAGCAGCCGCTGACTCTTCTACCAATGGCATGTTTTGGGCATGCTGAATATATATATATATATACACATACAGAGGGGATATGGGTTGGTCTCAAGCTGCAGGTAGTTCATGGCATGACGTGGGGCAACCCCGCACGCCAGAAAGTTCCATCAGGAAATACGCAACCGATTGATCGTCCCTCACATGTGTCGTGGGAAACACCCTGCTCGCAGGGATAAGCATGGACTTCACCTGAAACGGCCATTTCGGGGCAATGATCAAGGGAGCCATATCCCCAACCCACGCAAATGGCACGGTTTGGTTTGTCTCCAACCAAAAAATCGGTCCTCAGGCAAAAGACATGCCCGGTTAGGGAAGTGTTTGAGTGTGAAACCGTCGCTTCGTTGGTCATATCCTTTGTTGGTGTGTTCCTTTTTTCCCTTGTCAAGCCAACAACCCGAGTGCTTCTACGTTGGGCGTTCGAATGGGGACTATCCGGCGCCTCAGTGTTTCAAGATGTTGTTTTCCTATTGTTTGGGTCAGTCCTCCAAATGGTAGGTTTTCCTTTTACCGCCTTGACTGGGTTGTGACTCCCTAGACCAAGATCTAAACATGCTGAAAGCACCTGGCAACCAGAAAAAGCTTGCTGTTTCGCCCAAACACCTGGCGAACATGACCAAACTGGTGGAAGTCCATCCAAAAAGGGTTAACCCACCACAAAAAAGTAGGTAACCACCCATGGAGGCAAAACAGCGGTTTGTGTCCCTTTGTTTTCCCCCCCCCCCCCAAAAAAAAAAAACACCTTCCATGTGCTTAAGTTGTTTTTTTTTAATCCTGTTGTTTTTAAGGGAACCTGTCACTACTGGAAATATGTTTATTTTTTCCAGGGGGCCCTAAACGCAAATGGCAGAACTTCCCAAAGAGGGTTCCGGTCACCTCGCCGAAGCCGAAGCGATTCCTGCGATTCGAGGTGACCGCGGAGCACTTCCGGCCATTTGGGCAGAACCCCCAGAAGCCGCCCGGCGGTCGGCGGAGTCTCGCTCGGGTTGAGGCGCCGCTTGAACGGGTCACTTGCTCAAAAGTGGCTTTCGGGTAGATGAAGGGCCACAATCAGAACCATTTTCGGGTAGATGAAGGTGAAGGGATAATCAACCTTGCCATAAATCGTTTGAGCCACAATCGAAGCCGATTCGGGTAGATGAAGGTTAAACGGGAAAATCTACCTTCAAATAAATGGGTGCCGCTTTCCTTTTCATTCTTTAAGCCACAGTGCTAGTGCTAATGTCATTCCGGGTTATTGCGGGGTTTGAGTATGACTCATTGTCCAAAATTGGTCTGGCTGGATTTTTAGACGGATTCCTCTGGTTTCCGCGTTCTCATCATTTGCCGTGCCGCTTATTTGAAATCATAAGGACTCCTCGGCTGAGTTCCAGCGCCCTGTGTCGAGGCGAAAGAAGGCCCCAAAGACACGCCCTCAAGAGAACTATAGCCAAATTGCGCCAGCAGCTGCCACCAAACCAGAGCCAATATGTAATATACATATATACTACGTCCCAGTAGTGCCCTTTGACCAGCTTTTTTGGTTGGAAGGGTTCTCCTACTAAAATAGACTGCAGAAAACAGGGTAACCTTATTCCAACCTCTCTACCGGAGGACCTAGTATATATATATATATATGCAGCACTAGGTCCAAGCGAGGCTAGTGACTTAGTGATGCTGGCAAACTAGGTTTGTTTCCTCATCGGTGTTGACTGTAGTAGACTTGGCGGTCAACACCCTTTTCCGGGGTCAACAAGGCGCACTTGATAAAGAGCATGATTGAAACTCGGTCCTTCACAAGAGAAACGAATCTCGATCGGGCAAGCCGAGGTACATGCGCTTCATCCGCCCGGACTCCCTTTGGCGCCAGCTCTTTGCAGAGGCAGAGCTGCACGTGGTGCGTCAGGCGGGCTGGCCCCGGGCGACGGAACGGTGCCTCCCAAAGCTTGGGGCTATGAATGCTGCCGGCTTCATGGCGAGCTCACCGATTTGGGGGTAAAAAACGAGCTTGCCCAGCATGTAGGTCACTTACTTGGGGTCGTGTCAGGTTTGAACTTTGCAGGTGAATTTCCATGCAGAACACTCTTGACAGTGGTTGGTGGACACAAGTATCTATGTAAATGATGTCTACCAAAGCGTCCCCAAGGAAACTTAATCCCGGTAAACCCTTTGATACTACAAGTTGTTTAACCAAACGCCATACTGCTTATATACACGTTTATACCATGATGTGTCACCAATATATCTCGGTTAACATCCTGTATGTTGAAACCCATTCTTGAACCTGACTGTTGCTTGAGTTCAAGCTTGTTTGTTGGAACCCATTTGTTAGAAATCACGGTTGAAACCCGATTGTTAAAACCAGGCATTGCAACCCATTTATTGCCGCCCATTTGCACCAGGGTTTAACTAGATGGCGCTCCCTGTATGTGTGTAAGTAAAGCGAGGACCAAACCAAAACAAAGAGTCGTGTCACCTTCGCCCAACTGTATTGCCCACAAGGCTTTCCAGCTGGCCGTGGTTGAAACCCATGGTATTGCAACCCACTTATAGCCATTGGTGAATTGGTTTGAGCCCACGTGTAAAATTGGTGATTTGTTCTTACGAAGGGCATTAGTTCACTAAGCAAATGACTTTGTTAGTACATGACTGGAGCCCATGTGTAAAGCCACATGTTATTTGCGACGTGACCCAAATTGGCATGTTTTTGTTTCTTCTTCCGACCCCATAGGTGGAGATTCCTGGCACGTTGCAGCACCCGGTGCCGCACACGCTCTACGAGTTGTCAAGTGGCAAAAGTGGGGAGTGCGTCTGCCATGGTTTTGGGAGGCAAACCCAAAGTGGTTCAACATGGTTCTAGAAAACGGTTTGGACGCGCTTTTTGTGGGTTTCACCCGCCCTTCCCCCTGTAGGCATCCTACAGGGGTGGATCCACAAAAAACGCATCCAAGCCGTTCCCTAGAATGGTGGGCCCCCTTGGGTTGGCATTTAGCATGGGTTTCCTCCATGTCCCTGTTTGGAACCTCAAGAAGGGGCAGTTTGAAGGGAATCCACCAGTAAGTTTCAACTTTTGAAGGGAAATCTAGTGACCCCTGTTTGGTAAATCAACAGGGAACCAGTCACCTTTCAGAGAAAGCCACACACTTTTCAATAGGATTTATTCGGGTTTGGGGAAGCCGGAATCCCTAAAGGGGATGGTGTATTAGGGGTCATTCCAATCCCTCATTCCCTGAAGCAAGTCTCCCAAAGCGGTCTACTGTAAATTTTGGGAATTGATTGGGAAACCAAACCTCATGTTGTTTCTTTCATATCGAGACAAGCCATGCAGGTTGTTCCCCCTTTCAGCACAAGCAACTCAAGGTATGGTTGTTTACATACTACTAAGGGCTGTCTATAAGAGACGGCTGGAGTGCTATGACCTGCGATGGGGCATGAATACTTGGAAGTGTGTTTTATTTTGTTGGCATACCCATTTACGGGTCTCTTCCACATACAAGATCTCTTTTTTTGGTAGAAGGAACATCATGTGCGGATTGGGGCTTGTTTTTCAACCAGTCTGGTGAGGAACATGTAGTGGTTTCGCCATCTTCGGCAACTCCCCATAGCCGTGGGTATGGATAATGATTTTGAAGAAACCCTCAATTGATGTTGGTTTATTAGGGAGACTATCAGCAGCAGGTTGGGACGAGTTTATCCAGAATGATGTTGGTACTCAATTTGCCCAGAAATAGGACAGGGACTTCGCGATTGTGACCTACTCCACTTGTTGCGAACAAAAGTGTCCACAAAGTGCTTGGTACATGTCCTATTTTCGGTTGGTCCACTTTTGCGTACCTCATCTTGATGGATTTGTGGTGTCTGTACACTTCGAAGGCATGGAGCTTGCATGCAACTCACAAACCGCGGATTACAAGGGTATGCTGCCTTTTCAAGCTTATTTTGGTACACAAGGCTCCATATCCAAACACGGTACCTGCAGACATGCCCCGGATATAATGAATTGGATTCGCCTTGGAGCCACCGGCAGTTCTTGGCTCATGGCCCGATGAGATTCGGCCACGATGAGATTCGGCCAGTGACGCAGTCAGCGAATGGCGTGCTTTTTGCGTGGGTGAAAGCTAGCAAAACCTCAGTTCAGGCTTGATCATGGAATACCCTCCCACCAACTTACATGGAAGTGCAAAAAGGCCCTCTCCAAGAGGAACGTAGTCTTTCTACAGGGGTCTGTGAACTTCCATGTTGGCTGGTGGGAGGGGAATGCCATCTACTTTCACGCTGTAAACCCAATGCTACATGCAGACAAAGCTGATTTCTATTTGCACGCCTCACCGCATTCTGGGCCCGGAATCAATCCCGCGCAAAGGGCAGTAGACGATGTTGACTTGCAGCCAAAGCTGGGTCGAAGGTTCGTCAACCCCTAAAGAGCTGGGGACCAGTTGGCTGGTTTCTCATTTTGAGACTTTCTTGTTGCAAAATGTATGGAAAGGCGCCCCAAGTGCTAGTTGAGTCTT